TAGGAAAAAGTGAACATGTCAGCCTCATGTTTGTGAAAGTCAGGAAGACTTAGTGTAACCAGACATATGCTCTACCTTATAGAAAACAGACTTTGCCAAGTGCAGGGTTGAAGGTATGGTGCAAGGAAACGACTTGGTTTTCAGGCTTGAAAGCATGAAGGGGACAATGAGTCTAGGTCAAGTTAGGAAGTCTCGCAAATGATACAGGGAGCAAGAGTAGATGATGGAACAAACCTTGTAGTTATCCAAGATTCCCACCCATATGAATACACATTTTAATAAATTCCCAGAGAAGGCGGGTTAGTCTTCACTTTTGCAGAAAGGAAGGGCTGAGAAGGAGCCTAGAAGAGACATCTGAGATGTTGGTGACATTGGGTCCTTTTAGAATTGAGTGCTTGTCATAAATGTATGCTTACTTGATGAAAATTTGTCAGATTGTATTTAAGATGTATTTTTGTATGTCATATCTAATTAACAGTACAACAATTACATTCCTTTCAGGATCTCTCTTCATGCTTAGAATTACCCATTAGTTAGAATAACAGTAGTACTTTGTTTATTCATTTAATATTTTCTTGTTAAAATTTTTATTTTGTGTGTGAGTGCTTTGCATGCATGTGTCTATGTATACCACATGTATGCCTAGTGCCCTCTAGAGCTAGAAGAGAGCACTGGATCCCTTGGAACTGGAGTGAAGATCATTGTGAGCTCCTGTGTGGGTGCTATGAACTTAACCTGGATCCTCTACAAGGGCAATAAATACTTTTAATCACTGTGCCATCACTCCAGCCCCTCAATATTTCTTATGTTAACCATTCCATGTGATTGCATGTCCCTCACAATCACTTCAGTTGTAGTAACTTCTTCATGTTCTGCTTTGTTGATGTACCTACCACTACTTCCTTCACCAGGCCTGTATAGTTAGACAAACACATTGCTCTTAGTTTTCACTTGGGATCCAACATGTTTAATCAGAAGGCCTGTTTCTATGTTCAAGGTTATTCTGTAAGAGCACCTTCTTAGATGTAGCAAGATTGGATTGGATCTCTTTAAGGTTAAGATAAGTACAGTGCAGAATCGTGAATTTGGAGGACAGACTTAAGGAACTTGAACATCTGTGGTTTTGATATTCATGGGGGATCTGGACACCATCTAGCTTGGATATCAAAGAATGACTGTATTTTCAAATTACTCCAATAGTCTTGGCTTCATCCAACCTTCTCCCACTGTTATATGCCACTACCATGCATAAAATGGCAAGTTTCCTTATATAATGTTTTCCAAATCTTTTTCCTTTGCACTTATATGAAGTTGACGAGCCCCTGACTCTTGTCTTACACCTCTCCCACTCTTCAGTTGCTCAGGGGTAGTCAATGTGATATCAACATTTGTGGGGCTTCAGTTTTCTGAGGGTCACATTTTCTCAAACTATCTCAGGCCCTTTAAACTAAGCCCAGAGCTGAAAACCAACAAGAATTTAAGGACCTTCCTCTTTCTCCAAATATGAAAAACAAACTATTAGTTTGTTCACTTTAACATCATGTACACATTTTAACTTATTTGTAACTTCAGCCTTTTTGATATCAGTTCTCTTTTTTACATGTCTTTTTGGTCATTCTTTTCTTTCTATCTTCTTGTTATATTCTTTAATTAAAAAGTAACCTTTTCTTTGAAATATAACAAGACTCAATTTTCATATGTAAGCTTAAAAGGAATACTTCAAATATTTGAACCATTATTTGTTGAACTGTTTAACTTAACATTTATGAATTTTATCCTATAAAATGCAGTTATTTTTTACAGGGACATTTTTCTAATGAAAAAAGAAATACTCATTCCAAAGAACAAGTTGGGCCAGCCCAACACTCTTTCTTTAAGAGGTACCTCAGGCTGATAGGTTAGGCAACTGCAATAGGCAGAGGAGCTATATCTGCAATGAACTTGACCATCATCTCGAGCCTCTACTGTGCAGAAGTAACAAAGCATGAGCACTCGAGTTATTTAAGAAATCTGAATGCTTGAGCAGTCAGGAGAACTGGTAACTATTTAGTTGAAAGGTTCTGATGTACAAGTGAATGTCAGTCAGGACAAGAGCTTATATGTATACCAAAGGGCTCTACCGCTGCATTCTCCTGGTTACTACTGGCTAATAATTAGGAAGAAATGCTAGAAAAAAATGCTTTCTAAAATTTTGAAGGTAATAGAAATAGGATAGGTTATTAGAATCAGATCAAAGAAGATAGAACCCATAGTAGTAAATATGTACTTTGGCTATGTAACTAGAAGCTCAATATAAGTAATGAAAATAGCAATAGTCTAGATTATATATATATATATATATATATATATATATATATATATATATATATAATGGACAAGGCCTAATAAAGACTGTGCCCTCCTATTCTCATGATTGCACACTAAGAGGCACAAAACAGAAGGTGTCCCAGGATGAGTAGCCAAGGTGACTCAGAAGACTTGAACTCTTATCTTAGGGGAGTTTGCTGACAAAAATCATTCATGATATGACAACTATCTCTTAGTATTCCAACCCTTTTCCTCTGCAAGCAAGGGTAAACTTTCTGTGCACCCAGGAGCAAGAGTTGGGAAAGCAGGACTTAATTATAGGGAGTTGTACTTGAGCTAATCAAAGTTGTAGCATTCAAGGGTGTGCATAGATGGAATAGAGTCTGCCAACAACATTGCCATTTCCTCTCTGCTTCTGGGTGTAAGATGTGGAAGATTCCATTTCTCTTGGATTGAGATCTACATGAACAGCCTGGACATGAGTGGGGGTAATGAAAGGCGAGGGTTGAGGGAAAGAGAGCTTGGGGGAGCAGGAGATCCCAGCTGGATCAACAACAGAGAGGGAGAACAAGGAATAGGAGACCATGGTAAATGAAGACCACATGAGAATAGAAAGAAGCAAAGTGCTAGAGAGGCCCACAGAAATCCACAAAGATACCCCCACAACAGACTGCTGGCAATGGTCGAGAGACAGCCCGAACTGACCTACTCTGGTGATGGGAATGGCCAAACACCCTAATTGTTGTGCTAGAAACCTCATCCAACTACTGAGGGATCTGGATGCAGAGATCCATGACTAGGCCCTGGGTGGATCTCTGGGAGTCCAATTAGCGAGAATGAGGAGGGTTTATATGAGCGAGAATTGTTGAGACCAAGGTTGGATAAAGCACAGGGACAAATAGCCAAATGAATGGAAACACATGAACTATGAACCAATGGCTGAGGGGTCCCCACTGGATCAGGCCCTCTGAATGGGTGAGTCAGCTGATTGGCTTGATCTGTTTGGGAGGCATCCAGGCAGTGGGACCAGATCTTGTGCTCATTGCATGAGTTGGCTGTTTGAAACCTGGGGCCTATGCAGGATTGTTTGGCTCGGCCTGGGAGGAGGGGACTAGACCTACCTGTACTGAGTCTACCAGGTTGACCTCAGTCTGTGGGGAAGGCTTTGCCCTGGAGGAGATGGGAATGGGGGGGGGGTTGGGGGGAAGGTGAGGGGGACGGGAGGGGGGGAACAAGGGAATCCGTGGCTGATATGTAGAACTGAATTGTATTGCAAAATAAATTAAAAAAAAAATATATCAAAAAAAAAAAAAAGATGTGGAAGATTCCATTTCTCTTCCTCACTGAAATTGGGTGTGGCCATATAATTAGTTCTAGCCAATGAAACAGGAGTAGAATTGAGAGTGTCACTTCTGATTCAAAGCATTCAATTTCTAGGGTTTGCCTTTTCAGCATTTGTTCCCTTTGGGTTAAAAGGGATTGAGCAGCTTCCTTGATCATTTAGAGTAAATAAGTGATTTACATGCCACCCCACCACCGTCTCTCAGACCCATCCATACACCTACGTGTGAGTGGTAGTCTGAGTCGAGTACCAGTAGCTTTTGCTGTTTCTATCCATTGAAGTCTGTGGGGTTTATTATTGCAACACAGTCTTTCTAACCTGATGGACCCAAATGCCTTCAAAAAAGAATGGATCCTATAATAAGCTCTGGGCTCTTGAAAGATACTTGGTTTGGCATCTCACACCTTTGCATTCCTTGTGCGTTTTTACTTTCTTTGCTACATTGCCTTCAAACTGTAATTCAGTCAGATGGGATTTCCACTTTTTCCAGGACCTCCTGGCAAATGAATTCTGGTAAAGAAGTCTAAGAAGATTCTCCTTATGAGCACATTTTGCTGTAACTCCACAGCATGCCAGCAATGTCACAGATTTATGGAACCTTTTCTCTTGGGAAACAGCTAAGAGTTCACCCAGTAAAGATTTTACAGAGTAATAGACACACAGATAGGCAGACAAAGAGTCATACACACACACATACACACACACACACACACACACACACACACACATACACACACGGTGAGGGGGAGAGGGAGAGATAGAAGGGAAGACGAAGGGAGGGAGGGAGAAAGCTTTAGTCATAAAGACTATGAAACATATCAAAGATTTCAGGACCAAAGTAACTTTTTGGAACATGAACTTTGTGGTTTGATTCATAACAATAACACATGTCACACAGCCTTGACTCTTGTCAAGTGTCCATTCAGTCTGTCCAAGTAGATGCATTGCTGCTTATAACAAAGTTTCCAGAGGAAGGCTGCGGTCCACCTGCTAATTCACACCTGAGAACAACGCACCCTGTAAATTCTCACATAACCGCTGAACATTGCTAAACTTTCTGAGTGCTGGAATATTTATAAAGTAGCTCTGTCTGGTGAAAAGGTTTATGAGGTAGTAGGTGCCATGAAACAAACAAAAAAAAAACATATGTTCTAAGCCTGAGAGGAAATAAAGAGCTGAAATTCAAAGGTGATCCCAATACGGGGAAAAATGGAAAGGACAAATTTTAAATTATAATTAAATGCATGTACATACATATGTATATGTACAAATCTCTAACTAGTTTTATATAATAATCCTTATATAATCAACAATTAATTAACTGCTGTCTCATTCTTTTTGTTGTTCCCAGGAGACAAAAATCAACTGTGTGCGGTTGGCTACGAAAGGTATGTGGACCTGTCCTTGTCTGACTTCAGCTGTTCTTCAGCAATACAAGCATTGTTCCTGTGTTCCCACAAGCGAAGTTTAGGCAACAGTGTCTAAAACCAAAAGGAATAATTATTTTTGTTGGGGTCATTTGCATCTACACCACGTATCTCCAAAGAATATGTTCATAACATAGAGCTTAAAGCATAATAACTCCAAACATATTTACTGGATGGATAGATGGATTTTACAATGAATGTAAAATACTTTAAAATTTTATTCTGTATATACACATGTATACATTCATTGTATTTGTGTTTATGTTTGTGGGGTGTTTTTCTTTAAGCTTGTCTATTAGACCTGTAGTTGAGGTTTTGTACTTTATTCAGTTGGCGCATGGCTTTCAAGTATGAGGTGATTAGTATTGCTGCCTTTAAAATGAGAAAGCAGACACTGCATTGTTATGTCCTTCGCATTTCAACACTTATCCCCCAAAACACGAAGGCAGCATTGTTCAGGCTCATCACTTTTGTTTTCCTAATTATAATTGAATTGCCTGGCTCTTTCAATTGGTACATGTTTCTGTTTATTACTTTTTTAAAAAAACAAAATCAATGAATGGTTTGTTATCATTTAACCTATTACAAGGTTGAATGGTTAGAAATCAGGTTTATCTTTTTCTTACAGAATGGATATTTTCAACAAGAGCTTCCCCCACCAATATACAAGAAACAAAATTGAGCTCTGTTCTCTGCATTTATTCATAGCATACACAATTTCACAGTTTACTTCCAAGGGTACAAAATTTATAAATAGAGTTATACATATCATCATAGATATAATAGACAAAAGCAATGACTCAAGTTATATATGTATATATGTGAGTATGTGTACAAAGGAGTCACATACATGTGGGTAGAAGAGGAGAGATAGTGAGTGAGTAAGAGGACATAAAGAGAGACATAGAGAAAGAAAGAAAGAAACAAACAAACAAACAAACAGGGGTGAGGAGAAATATAGCTACCAAGATATGCTCCAAAACCTCTTAGGACTTTTCTAAATTCTAAGAATTCAGCTGCATATGTAGGCACCAAAGGGATGGTACAGGAAGAAGATGGAACATTGAGACTCTTGGTGATAAGAAGTCCCTGAGCTGGCATGTCCCTAACTTGTTCCCTCTAAGGAACTCAAATGACTCTGTGGAAAGAGACAAAATAGTCTTGAGGCAGGGAGAACTGATGGCCTGCAGACAGAAGTGACACAAATCACAGACCTTGGCAGGCCTTACCACTGAAGAAAACAGATAATGTAGAAGGAAGAACATCATCAATTGGGTAGCACTGGGGCTCTAGACAGAAATCAGGAAGCTGGGTGTCTGAAGCATCCCACATAAATAGGCAGCCAGAGAGGGGTAAGAAAATACAGAGAAAATTCCTTTGTCATGGTAATACTCATGGCTTCCCAGTACTTTTTCACTCTATACAAGAAAATAGCCAAGATGAGTGCTCTCCCTGCTGTGGGTTCTAGGGACACACTGAGACATAAGCACCTCCAAAGAATTCTTTACTAGGTCTGTTTTACCTGAGAACTGGGAACATGTGACTTAAGAGGCAACGGGTATATAGAAGAGTGATGGGATGATATATAAGACTGTGCTTTCCCACCAGTCTCAGGACCACAGTCTTCAGATGTATAGAACGCTACCATGCTGGCTATTCCAAGGACACATTGCTGGTCAGATGGAGAATGGCAATGACATTAGAAGAAGTAGAACAGACATGCTGTCTATCTCTCCATAGCATAACTGTGTCTCCTCTTGTGTGACCTTAGGTTAGAGTCCTTCTTTAGTAACACAGGTAAAGTGTGAGTGTGAAATGGTAGGGATGCATGGATGAATGTGTGAATTCCTAGCTGATTAAGCACATGCAATACTTTTAAGGGAATTTCCAGCATCCACATCCTACTTCTGTAGTACATTGAGATTCAATACTTCCTCCCAAAAACTGGAGACTCCATCACTGCTTGGGAAAAGGGTAGAGAACTACCTAACACAGAATGCCAACATATCATTGTTCAGGGAGCCATCCCTCATTACAGTCCCAGAGAAGAAAGATTCTTGAGAAATACAACACTAGGGCTAAGGGAAGGAGATTCATGCTTGGTCCATCCTACTCCATACCAGTCACAACACTTGAAACATCCCAGGGTCAATCAAAAGCAAATGCTGCCTGAATCCATGTATTGCCCATAAGGCACCGAAATGAAGGAAAGATACCTGATTCATCCCGTTCCTTTTTTACTACCTAGACCAAATTTCTTTTTGGTGGGATTTTGCTATAGATATGTTTTTGCAGGGGGAAATTTGATGCTGGGAATTCCACAGGAATCAGGCATTTATAAAGTCCCAGAAATATGTCATCACTATCTCTTTATGAATCTCTACCTTTCAGCCATTTTGGCATCTTCCTTGGGCATCTGCTGACAGACATTCCATATCTGGAGGGAAATCACATGCCTGACACAGGCCTGCACTCCAGTGATAAAGTAACTTGCTGTTGTCTTGTTCATGACCTTGGGTTCTCTATATTGTCCATGGTCATCTGTATGAATCCCATAGAGCCAGACAATTAGCATGTATTTCAGCCCTAAGTACTCATTTGGGGTCATTCTGTATTGACCCTAAAACCATTACCTGTTATGTTACATACTCAGTAGCTCTAATTTGTGTCTCCCTGTTATCTCTAGAAGCAGAGTTTGAGGCAAGTATTTAGAAGCATGTTCTAGTGCTGAGGGAGGGCTCTCAAAAGTTGTAAAAGCGAATGGGATGGGCTGAGCAAGAGTCTTTTCCAGGCAGGGTTGAACTAAAACTAGATCTACAGTAATACACATTTCTCTGAAGTTGTCTTGGCTCATAGTAAGAAGACACCCTAGTCTTCATCAGACTTTGGCTAATTCCTCTACCACAGTCTCTAAGAAGAAGTAACAAAGGTGAACCTTAGACCAGAGTTGAGAAAGTTCTGGTTGTAAGCTCTTAGTCACATCCTGAGGCTGCACCAACCTGATATGAGGAACTGGCTGCCAAAACAAAGCCTCTTTCTACTGCCTCTAACTCCAACAAGACTCCTGGAAAGATTATACCATCGTGTTGAGAGGCAGCACAATGCTACTAGAGTTGTTCCAAGTGTGAGAGATTCCAGAACATTCCAGAATTGCTTTGCAGAGCACAGTCCAGTCCTGGTAACAGACCTGCTCAGAGCTGTGGAGAGAAAAACAATAATGGGTAAATAAATACTGTTTTAGTTTAGAAACAAAAAATGCAGACTTTGAAACAAAGGCAGTACAAAACCAATGTGCAAAGATAATCAATTTAAATTTGGTTTCTCATTATTTTTTTTGGTTTTTTTTTGTTTTAATGTGAGAAATAAGGGAGATACTATAGAATCATTAAATGGAGCTGATCTTTGGAAGACCAGGGATGGGCTCAACTTGAACAACTTATGGGAAATGAAAGCTAAACATGATTAAAAGCCCTGCTAGGGATCCATGAATATTGTAGAAGAAGGGGTGGAAAGAATGTAAGAGCTGGAAGATGGGGGAAAGGGCTGTGACATGCCATCTAGGCAAGAGACCATCATTACAATCAGGAAACCACAGCAACTATGCATGCTTTCATTGGGTCTGCACAAGAATGGACCCATCATTAGCCAGGCGTGAACAGAGGAGGATGGTGAGGTAGCTAACTCTCACTGCAGAACTATTTGTTGCTACTGATAAGTTAAGGGGAAGGAGAACTATTGCCTTTAATTGTGTAGCCCCTTGTGACCCACCAGGCTCTAATGGACAGTTCCAATCCAATGAACACACAGATGGCCCTGGTAAAACTAAATGAGTCACAAAACCAACCCAAATGCCATGAATCTTGGAAGGGAACTTGTTGAGGAAGGGGGTTGAAATGGGAGGGAGATAAGAAGGGATAGGTTGAGTGAGTAATCAGAATGTGTTTCTTCACATGTACGTAATAGTCAAAGGACTAATTTAATTTTAAGTGGTTCTTGGCTTTCCAAGAGAGTATATGGGAACTTGAAATGAGATCCTTAGAATTCAGAGGTGCTGAAGTTCAAATAAGAGATAAAACATGGAAGAAGCATGAGCCTCAATGGTAGAAGACATTTCCAGCTGTAGATGCTGAAAGAGATGTCCAAATAGCTGAATGCATGCCCTTTGGGCTGGGGCAGAGGAGGCCAAGTAGAAAATAGTCTCTGATCATGTTACTCAGTTGCAGAACGACACCAGACAGTTCCACTTTCAGAATCTGTTGGGCCCTCTTGTACCCTTCTGAACTTTACTGCTTTTATCACCATGCTGGTCCCTACCAGTCTTTCCTGCATGCTATGACCTCTGTTTACCCTTTGTCCCCATCCAGGCTTCTCCCCATTTATCCACTGCTCTCCAGCACATAGTCTTTGTTCAATTATTTTTTTAGAACTACCTTTTATTTATTTATTTTGTGGTGTGTAGAGTGGGGCTAACATGTGTCACAGAACATGTATGGAGATCAGAGGGCTACTTGAAGGAGTTTATGCTCTCCATCTACTATGTGGGTTCTAGGAATCAAACTCAAGTTGTTGGACTTAGTAGCAGTTAACCAAAGGACAAAGCAAGCCCCTTTACCCACTGATTCCTCCTAGTTTTTTTTTTTTTAAAAAAACCCAGTTTTTATTTATTTATGGGGCAGAGTACACATGTGCATGATACATATGTGAGAGTCAGAGAACAGCTTAAAGGGCCAATTTTCAAATACCTTTCACCTTTTGTTTGAGACACAATCTCTCATTGGCCTGAAAGTTTTTCATGTAGGCCAGGCTAGCTTTCCCACAATCATCTAAGGATCTACCTACCTCCATCTTCTCCATCACCATCACTGGGGTTACATGTACACACCACTGGACATAGCTCTTTATCACAGATTATAGGGATCTGAACTCAGGACTTCTTGCTTGCAAAGCAAGAGCATTACCAA